ATAACACATATACTATACATAGTAACATGGTACTTTCCCTATAGTATATTATTATTTGTAGGTAAATTGAAAACAATACGAGCACATGAACATAGAGGGTACCCAAGGTAGGAATTCATGTGTACTAAAATGATGAAATCGTTTGCAACATATGCACATATACATATCCATCCACGAGCCATATCAACTAATAAACAAAGTCAACTTTTTTACTACTGCCATACAGTCAATAAGCAAGCATATGATTTTATATTTCATCTCTGATTTGAGGAGCAATTGTTAGCTGACTGGTGCAGTCGGTAAAATGTACATTGAAAGACCAAAAACTACCATGTTTTGAATTTTATTGTTATCGTATAGGGACATAAGAACTTTAAAGAATAAAACTGAAAAATACCCTAGTATATTTCCAACTCGTGTAGGGATATGAAAACATTAAAAATAAAATTGTAAATCACTAGATCAGTACTAGTTGTAATATTTTGAAAAATCACTAAATCTTATTTGACCATTTTTTCTGAAGACAATTTGGAAAAGTTGTCATAGTGGAGGGCGCATTCAGTGAGTCAGCCTATGTAAATAAACACAAAAATAAATAACTGAAAATTTGTTTACCTCATAAATGATGACACAAATCTGTACTGAAGTTAAAGGTTTTCAGAGAGGTTTTATATATATATATATATATATATATATATATATATATATATATATATATATATATATATATATATATATAATTTCATGAGTTTAATATGACAGCAAGCAACAATATGTATATCAAGAGGTGTTTACAGTTTACAGATTTGGACAAAATAAGAGTTTTGGTTAAAGCTTGTTTTTTAAAATAGCATATCAGAAAATACAACAGATTTGTTAATTTAAAACAAGAAATATGTTCGACAATCCTTAGAAAAGACTCTGATTTACATCCTACGCTTAGTGATGATAAAATCGTGACAAGTATCTTAAATCCCGATATCAATCTTCCTAAAACAGTATGACAGGAGGAAAAGATATATAACTTCAGTGCCAGATTAAACCCTGTGGAGGCCTCTAGGCAATCAAAGTCTATGGGCTCCGCTTGCAAATTTTTTTCCTAATAGGTCAACATCAAATCAATATTATTTTATCTGTTGTCGCATGGCCCCTAAAGAGCATGGAGCCCATAGCCAGGTGCCTACTCTGCACTGTATATCTTGTCTGAGTAAATGCACCAATTTGTATTCAGTTAAATGTATAATACATTTCAAAGATATTGTACACTTTACAAGCTCAATCTACAACGCTTCCACAAAAAAAAAGAATATATAGTTCGATTTAAAATAGCAAATTGTGACCCGGGTTATGAAGCAGTCATTTTAAAATCAGCTATAGGAATGATAAAATTTGCGCATATATCTGAAATCACTCATCAATACATTTAAGGGGCTTGGGGAAAGGTTGAAACATGTTAAAAATAAAAGTTCCTTGGACGATGATGAATATTCTATGGTCTTGTTGATAACACATAAAGATAAATGATGTGAAATGTATACTAAGGAAAAGCGGACGTCAAAGTCTCGGGCTGCCCTCTGCGGGCTTAGAACCCGCAACTCTTGTCCCACTCCCAAATAATTTATAGCAGCTCCCAACAGCTGAAAAAACAAATTAAAATGTCATAAAATGAAAATAAAATGCAGTTCATTATAGAAATAGTTAACGGAAAAAACTACTTACACATTATACAAGCAAGCAAGAAAAAGACTACCCATCAACAAATGCCTAACAAAAGAGATTATGTGAGTCATGTGGATGATCAGTGGCATTTAAATTTTTTACATGCAAAAATTTTTGTGAAAAAACAGTGAATACAGGTATTTTTTAACAGTGAATGATGTCTTCTCTCAAGACTATTGGACTGAAAATGTGATGTGTAAAAGGGTTATTATATCAACTATGCTTACTGAGAAATATATTTATAAAAATCATACACCTGAAAATAAAGTTTGATCAAAGAATACAATTATACAACACTAAAGTGAAGAATTTGTGAAGAAAAACATGAAACACTATAATACCTATGCAGGCTCACTGTCATAGCAGACTCATGGAATCAATGATACACACCAAAGTATCTATTCACTCTTTAGTCATCAAAGATTTGCCCAGAGTGATTTATCTGTTTGTAATGATATGGAAGAAAAAGCTTCCAACCTTTGTCCCTTCAGTTCCTGATCATAAAGCCTGGGCAGTCAATACTCTTTGTCTGAACTGGCACAGTCATAGAGCCATCCTTGGGGTATGGAGATGATACTAATTGCTCCTCTAACATATTCCTCATACATAATTTAATTGGGTGACATACATTACAAGCACATTGACCCCTAAGAAGATGAGTTAAATGCATACTGATTGTGTTAATGGAGAAAAAGAAATGTCAAGGAATTATTAAAGCTTATCAAAAAAACTTTATTTGATTTTAAAACTTTATTTGATTTTAAAGTGGTTTGATTTAATATATTCTTGAATGCAGCTCCATGTACCATTTGCAGTGTCATTAGATTGTATGTATCCTGACAATGAGTAGATAACAATAACAGATGCAGCCCCTGGGTGTAGATGAGTAGATAACAATAACAGATGCAGTCCCTGGGTGTAGATGGGTGGATGAGTAGATAACAATAACAGATGCAGCCCCTGGGTGTAGATGGGTGGATGAGTAGATAGCAATATCAGATGCAGCCCATGGGTGTAGATGAGTGGATGAGTAGATAACAATAACAGATGCAGCCCATGGGTGTAGTGGGTGGATGAGTAGATAACAATAACAAATGCAGCCCCTGGGTGTAAATGAGTGGATGGATTTTAGGATGGAGTAGAATTTACACTTATATACTTTAAACAAAATATTACTTTGTGACCTGATAGATGTCGATTGTATAAATTAATGGAGGAAGGATGTTCATATTTGTGACATGTCTTTTGTATAAACTGATGGGTGATGGTAGTATTTGTGATAATGAATCTTGAGAATGATTAAACAACAAATGTTTCAGATCTTAATTGTGACTCAGGGAAAGTGGTTTGCAATGTCGGTATAAAAAGTCTAAATGTCAGATATGCAAACATTTTTATACTACTTCTCTCATTTGGTATGGATTTATCCTGTGACATATGTATGCAGATGGAAGTAGACTTCTTGTTTTGAAAACACTAATGACATTCTCAGAATTTGATTTGCATGACTGAATCACATGATGTGATTTTATTTATAAAATGAGAGCTAGGCCAGATGATTACTGATATAAATATAAAGAAATGTTTTTATAAATATAAAAACAAAACAATTATCATAAAAAGAAAGTCACTATAACTATAAGTACTCATTAATTTCTTTTTGCATGAAGAATATTTTTATGACACTATATCTGACTGTTAAACTGATGGGTGGAATTGTGTTGGGGGGGAATACCATATATTTTATATAGCCTTGTACTGCTCAGGGGCCCTTGAAGGGTACCTAATCATGCTCAGGGGCCCCTGAATGGTATCTAATCAGCAGTTTTATACTCATATGTCTGTCATTTAGCATTAATGCATCTCATCATGATGACACTGCCAAAAAATCATGTTAAGTATTAATTCTTCTGAAAAGACTCCACATCAACATAGATGTGTACATTTTCGTTTTTGCCTTTCAGGTTCAATTAGGTCATGACCTGAATATGATTGTCACGGCAGTCGTTATCTTATGAACCATTCATGTACTGAAGATCTGAAATATTGACCTGATTTTAGAACTGAAAGAAATGCTACTTATGGATGTACCATATGTACTTGCTTATAAGACAGGTCCAAGTAAAAACATCACAGACCAAGATCTACTGTCACATAATACACTGGGAGATCAGGGTCTGTGTTGTTTGGTCTACAGCTTATGCCATACAAACTGCATATATCTAGATATGCCTGTGCATTATACATCAGCAGATCTGAGTCGATGAAGTTTGCAGCTGGAATGGACTTATAAGTGAATATATATGCAGTACTTCTGGTTTGGAAAACTGGGTGGCAGATTCTTATGAACTGTTATAAAGTAGGTTATTCCATGGGGACAATCCAGACAGTACATAATGAAAAGATTGTGCACACAGTACCTATACAGATTTTTCTTCCATCTGTAACTGGATAATTATTTGTCAAAAATGATCATAATTAACCTGATGAGACACTAATTTTGGTATGCTTTTGTGAATTTGGAAAAAAATGGCTAAATTTTAAAAAATAAAGTACTGAATTAAAATATAAGGACAGTTGCCAAAAATATTAAAAGAATAATATTGCTAACAATAACTATAAATGAAAGAATGTGGTGAAGTAGTATACTAGACAAAATTGCATACTGAATGTACTGCTCAAGTGCAATTTCAATGTGTGAACAAAATTACCATATGTACTTGTTTTTAAGTCATGTCCAACTGCAAACAATGTAAACCCTGATCTGCTTGCACATTATACAATAGCAGATCAGGGTCTGTATTGAAGAAAGCCAGATGTACTGGTGGATTTATGTAAATTCAAATCTGTGTCAGTGCAATTAGCAGTAGGCAAGTATAAATCATACTAGTAGACTACTTCCTTGCTCTTTCTAAGCCAGTCCTAAAAGTGAATAGTATAGACCCAGATCAACTTATGAATTAAGAGGAGAGTGTAGACTCAGATCTATCATACAGTTTGTTCTACTTCTGATTTTAAAACTGCTCTGGGGGGCCCCGAGTGGCGAGTGATCTAAAGCTCTCTTTCCGTTATGGATCACTACCATCTCACCTCTGTCTGTGTGGGTTCGAGTCTAAGATTCCGAGAATGTGGTTTATGTGAGAAAGCTTGCCAGTAGCTTCTTGTGGGTGGGTGGTTCTTTCCGAAGATTGCCCAGTTTCTTTCTCCACCATTAATACTGGCCTCCATGTATAGCCTATCGTGTGCTGAAAAATGGCGTTAAGCCCCACATCAACAAGAACTGCTCTGGTGGTCTAGTGGTTAGAGAGTCTGCCTTGGATGCGGGAGGTCGTGGGTTTGATCCCCGATAGAGTCATACCAAAGAGTTACAAAAATGGTACTAACAGCTGCCTCGCATGATGCTCAGCATTAAGAGGTTAGTGTTAGGACTGGTCGGCCTGGTGTCAGCATAATGTGACTGGGTGGGACTTCATGCTACATGTCTGCAGCATGATGCCCCAGTGCTAGACATCACTATAAACTGCCACACTGCAGACATCATAGCAATATGACTGAAAAATTGTTGTTGTTGTGCTTAACGCCATTTTTCAGCACACAATAGGCTATTCATTGCGGCCATTATTAATGGTGGAGGAAGAAACTGTGAAATTACCAGAAAGAACCACTGACCCACAAGAAGCTACTGGCAAGCTTTCTCACATATCTACATTCGCCGAATCCTAGACTCAAACCCATGCAGACAGAGGTGAGATGGCAGTGATCTCGAATGGACAGCACTTTAGACCACTCTGCCACTCGGGGGCCCCCTGAAAAATTGTTAAAGCTACATTAAAAAAATCATAATCACATCACATCACTTCTGATTTTAGAACATTGTAGACCCTGATCTGCCAGTGAGTCAATGCAGTTTTTTCTACTTATCATTTTAAGGGAACATTATAGACCCTGATCTGCCAGTGCATTATACAACAACAGGTCTGGGACTATGCTTTTTGGTGCCCTGAATGGCACCATTACAGATCAGTGCCATATCACCTCTGCATGGGTTTAGTCTTGGGCTTGGCCAATGTTGGTAGGTGAAGAAGCCTGCTGGTAGCTTCTCATAGGTCGGTGGTTCTTTCTGGGGTTTTCCCAGGTTTATCCTCCACCATTTATACTGGCTGCGGTGTATAGCTCATATTGTGCAGAAAAATGGCATTAAACCCTACAACAACTACAACTATGCTTTCTGCTGTGGGGTGATCATTATACATGGGTATATACGATATTAGATGAATAAAAGCACATGTTCTGATAATAACAGAATACAAGCCAGATCTATAAAAGTTTTATTTTATGTGCTTTTTTTATAAAGAGCAAAGATTCTGCACATATGTGAAAGATTACAAATACAATAATAATTCTATATGAAAATAAAAACAAAATCTATGCAGATACCATATATACTCACTTGCAGGTTGTGTTTAACAACAAACAAGACTAACTCTGATTTTCCATTGTATAATGTACGGTCAGGGTCTGTGTTGTTTGTTCTATTGATTACTCCAAGAAAAATAGAGAAACCTAGATTTTCCAGCAATGCAATGGCAGTTTGGGATCAATGCAATTTTGCAGTGAGTATATATAGCATATAAATCGACAGAAACTCAACTCTACAGAAGAAAACCCAACTGGTAACTGATAATTTCTTGATAGCTTAACAAACACAAACAGTTCACAATACAAGTTTACAGCCCATTATTTGCATTCTAAAATAAGATTTTCAATGAAAAAGTAAAAAGTAAAAAAATTATAAACAGTCAGTAATTTTCTTCTTGTTTATTGCCAATATTTCTGCTCAAACTAAAATTGTCTTGAAACTTGTGTTTTTCAAATTTTTTAACACCAAAATTTAAATACTTGTTCAGCTTCTTTTGTTAATAACTTTTATTTATTTGGATTTCAATATTTTTTTAATGAAACAATATTAAGTTAGGGGAATCATACTGATCAAAATTGCCACAACATTAATCTACATCATCACCTTTCAATCATACCAAATGATAATTAAAAAGAACAAAGAATTTAAAATGGTTCTTACCAGATAAACTTTCTCACAAAGAAAAATTTTTAAAAAAAGTTCTCTTAAAAAGGAAGAATACTTGTGAAACTTTAATGACATGATTTTCACTATGAAAGAATATAATAATAATCAATACAAAGTTGAACACTAAAATTTTGTTGACATCAGCTGTTCTATCTACTTTTTTCTGTAAAATATTTGACAATTATATATAATTAGGAAGATGTTAAGAGATTAGATTTGAAGCTTTAGAAACATTTCTAATGCTGAAACATTTTAAACTCAAGCTCACTAGATGAGTGATAAGTTAATATAAACATAATATGCAGTTTCCTGGCAAAATTTTAAGAAATAATACTGTTTGGTATTGTGTTGTGAGATCAGACTCCACATATTTAATGGCCACTAAGGAGATATCCTTCACTGCTTACCTTTGATGAAAGTAGACTGTATCAGCTGTTTTGTTTTTTTTTGCTATACAAATAGTACTGACAACGGAGAACCTTAATGTAATTAATATAAGCCACATGACTATTACTCCCTGATGGGTTGTACCAAAACACAAAATGATTATTTGTCAGCATTGATTCCCCTTAACGAGAAAAACATAAAAGAGCTTATTTCCTTGAAAACAAATTATTTTGAACACTGAATAAAATATTCTAAGAAAATTCCAAACATCTGACATCTTTTAAAACTATTAAATCATATGGTTCTGTAAAAATGACATTTTTAGGAATTCAGAAAGGTAGCTTCATTTATATTTGCAAATAAAATAACTCGTATTTTGGACTGGCAGAATATCTGTAACATAATTTTTTTCAGTCCACTTCTCTACTCTATGACAATAAAACAACTTCAATTTGAACCAGTCTAAACACAAATTGTAACCAGTCTAAACATTCATGTCTTTGTAATACTGATTAAATTTGAGCAATAATTACATCGCTATATTATTACAAGCAAATGCATAACCACATGTACAATGGCAGGAATAATATCAAGCATGGTAATGCAGCATAAATACTTAATTAATTTTAAAGCATTCTAATCTATTATTGAATAACATTTATAGATTATGTTTACAAGCATTTCCTTTAAAAAGCTATTTCTGATAAGACAGAAAAATAAAATTTCAGTTAGCAAAGATGTGATCTCCTACCCTTGGTCATCATAGAGGCTCCTGATTCACACCTGTAAACTTGCTCTGAAAAGGTGAAATAACTGGGAATCTCCTCTAAGTAAATCAATAATTTCCTTGTTTATTGTAAATAATTTATATGACTTTTCTTAATTTAAATTATAGTCTTGTTGAATAGTGTTCTAGTAGTACTGCAGAAATAAACATTTCATAAATATGCATAAAAATTTATGATTTTTTTTTCTTGACTGAAATTCTAAGCAACTAACACTTTAATTTTGTAAAGAAACTTTTCCACTGGTCCTGTAATTTGATCAAAATTTTACCAACATATCTAAACATTTAGTCTACAATAATGACATTTGATTGAAAAAAGGTTTAATCGAGACCTTCATTTTATCCAACCAGATCAAATTATGTTTCCTAGATGTCATTTAAGGTCCTATCAAAAAAGGTTTTTATGGTGACAGATGGACCTTAATAATGAAATTTTTAAGTCTGGCACAATACAGATCCTTCATTGGACATAATTCAGTAATAGAAAAGTACACATTATTTAATCTTTGCCATATTTTGAAAAAATATATTACAAATTCAGATTGATTAAATACATGAAGAAAAAATTGAGATAAACATAAAAACGTACATTTTAGCTTGTTCCTTTTTGGAAAGAGAAAAATCATTTTTTTCAGATTAAAGACTATAGATGTATTATTGTTAAAAGTCATACAAAAATATCAATCTCTAATATTTATCATTCACAAATAATTAATTAATTTACTTAATCAACAGAAAATTAAATTTGCATTTTTATCATACAACAATCTCATAAAACCTTGCAACACCCTCCACTTTTTTAGAGCTGTCAGCTACTTTAAAAAAAATAAATTGTAAATAATTTAAATAATTAAATAATTTAATAAGTGTTTACTCTTTTAACTGATTTGGCATAAGCTTTTATCTGTCTTTCTATTGGTGTAAACACAAACATACCAATATATGCACATACAAAATTGAAAATATAAATACTAGCCCTTTAAAATTTAGAAATATATAAATTTCATCACCACTAGCATAGAAAATAAGTTTTGTAAAAGATTACAACTAAATATAAAAGTCTATGTAAATCAAAGACAAATTCAAAAAATGAAAATCTGTTTGCTATAAAGCTGATGAAGATGTGAATAAACAAGAGACCAAGTTGGCTTGATATTGCTCACATGAGTTACATACCTATCAGCTGACAATTTCATTAAGCATGTTTATATAGCATAGTAAGATAATAACCATATATAAATGATCTAACCAACTTTATGTTGTGCCAGTTTGACCTATTTTAAGATAGTCTGATACAAATTATCACTCAAAATCTGATTTGACAACATCTTGATAATATGAGCCTATTTTACCTTTGATTATTTAAAATTAGGTCCGAAATATTGTCTCATCAGTGGTAAAAAGCTTGGCCAATCAACTGTAAGATCAACTCATTTGACTCATAATAACAGGTTTGACTCATAATATAACTTGTTGGATAGCTGTAAGATCAACTCATTTGACTCATAATAACAGGTCTGACTCATAATAAAACTTGCCAGATAGCTGTAAGATCAACTCATTTGACTCATAACAGGCTTAACTCATAATAAAACTTGCCCGATAGATGTAGGATCAACTCATTTGACTCATAAGAACAGGTTTGACTCATAATACAACTTGCTAGATATTTTAGTAGTATAACAAATTTACCATGCCTGATTAAAATCTGATTAGTTAGGTGTTGTCAGTATCAGCAAATCAGATGACAGATCACTTCATTAATATCCAAGGATCTCATCATAATTGTACCCATCCAAAAACTTGACTATTTTAGTCTATTTACCAAGTACACTCAAAACTGGATCAGAAACAAGCTCAGGCAATCAGACAAACCCACCACCTCATTAATATGCATGTTTCTCACTCAATATTTAACTCTTAGTGATATATTAGGTCCATATTCAAAGTCTGATCCAGATAAGATCATAAATATTTCTTCCAGACTGGTTACAAGCTCAGCCAATTAGATGCAAGATCACTGAGAATGCATGCATCTCACTGATTATCAAACACTTTTGAGATCAAGATGATAAGAAACATACTCCATGTTTGA